CCCTAGACGCCTTGGCGGGGGCCAAGTGGTTCTCTACGCTGGACCTCAAGTCAGGTTACTGGCAAGTAGAAGTGGAACCGGCGGACAGGCACAAGACGGCGTTCATTTTGCCACAAGGCCTGTTTGAGTTTGAGACAATGCCGTTCGGCCTATGTAACGCTGCTGCCACATTCCAGCGGCTTATGCAAGTGGTGTTAGCTCATCTATACCCACAGTAATGCCTAATATACCTGGACGACGTAATTGTATTCGGCAAGACACCCAGCCAACACAACGAGAATTTACGGGCCGTCCTCGAGGCTTTTAAAGAGGCTGGGTTAAGATTGAACCCTCAAAAATGCCAATTCCTCCGTACTGTCGTAAACTATTTGGGCCACGAGGTCAGCGCTCAAGGCATCTCTGTGTCTTCGGAAAAAGCAGAACCCATTCGTTCCTGGCCGGTACCCAATACGCCTACCGAAGTAAGAGGATTTATCGGGCTAGCTTCATATTATCGGCGTTTTATAGCAGATTTTGCCGGCATAGCACGACCACTACATAGACTCATCGAAAAAGGACGAAAGTTCCTATGGACTACTGAGTGTCAGACTGCGTTCGACGACCTCAAAGCCCGACTTGCTACAGCACCCATACTCAAGCTTCCTAACCTGAACCTTGACGCACCACCGTTCATACTCGACACTGACGTCAGCGCGTTCGCGATTGGCGAAGTGCTGTCCCAAACGGATGACAAAGGGCAGGAAAACCCAATTTGCTTTGCCAGTAAAACCCTATCGAAGCCACAAAGGAATTACTGTACATACAGACGAGAGTTATTGGCCATAATCACGTTTATCAAACAGTTCCGTCCCTACCTACTAGGTAAACCCTTTGTGGTACGTTCTGATCTTAAAGCCCTTCAGTGGCTACAAAATACCAAGGACGCAGAGGGACAATTAGCCAGGTGACAAGAAATTTTACAGGAGTATAACTTTACCTGTGTATACCTACCGGCAAGCAGCATGCCAACGCAGACGCCCTCTCGAGACGCCCCATAGATCCGGATACCGCAGAAGCCTGCATGAGGTCAGGTGAAGTTAACGCCGTTTACGCCAGTGAACCAACCCGATACCACTGGGCTATAGCACAGAGCACGGATCCAGACACGACAGTAATATATGACCACGTACTACATGGCAACCACCGACCTACTTACACTGAGCTATGCGGCTCATCAGAATCAGCTTATGTACTTCGTAACCAATGGCCCCAACTGTTCATAGATAACGATATCTTATGCCTTAGAGACGCCACAACAAATACAATATGAGTAGTGGTGCCTGGAAGCCTCGTCCAAACTGTACTTTCCGACCTCCACACCGAGTTGAGGCATGTAGGACAGAATAAAACTGAGGCAGCAGCGCGACAACGGTTTTGGTGGCCGCACCTACGAGAACAGGTGGCCACCTTTTGTAATACGTGCACTACTTGCGCTTCTTTTAAATCACCGCAACAACAAGGCCGCGCCCCCCTTTAACCAATGCGCACGAGCTTTCCATTCCAACGACTTGGACTCGACATAGTAGGCCCGCTGCCATTTACCACGTCTGGCCATAGATTTATACTAGTGATGGTCGATTATTTTACCAAATGGGCGGAAGCGGTACCCGTGGTCTGTCCACTCGGACTGCGGAGCTAACTTCGATAGCAAGTTACTGCAAGACGTGTGTAACTTACTTGATGTATATAAAACCCGCACAACACCTGCCCACCCTGAGGGAAACGGTCAGGTTGAGAGGACTAACAGGACCTTGATCCAGCTATTACGAGCCTTCGCCGAACAGAACCACCCACACGACGGGGACAAAAAACTGCCGTGTGTCATGATGGCATACCGTACCGCGGTACACACCTCTACAGGCTACGCTCCTTTCTTCATGTTAACAGGACGTTATTTTCGCCTTCCAGTTGACTCACGCTCCCCCTTACCGATTCCCAGCAGCCATACACCAGATGAGTACGTGTGGAAATTACGGGAATTACTGCGTTGCACACACAATCTAGCACGAGAACATCTGTAGCAGCCGCGGAACGACAGAAGAGCTATTTTGATAGGCAGGTACACGGGACTGCGTACCAATTAGGCGACCTGGTGTGGCGCTACAGGCCAGTGCCACCATGGGGAACATCTGCAAAATTCTTCCACCCCTGGGAAGGACCATACGTAGTAGTCGATGTACACCATCCCACCATCCTCCAGCGCCGGCGTAGACACAGACGCGGCCAATGCGAATATCCTCTGTATTGACATAAAAGACAGGAGCAGTATTGCCCCGAACACGATACTATTAGCTGCAGAAAAGATCCCTGGAGTGGATGGCAACCAGAATGTCATCATGAATGGTTCGCCAGGAACTCCCAAGTCACCAACATCACGCAACCAAGACCGGCCACTCCGAGAACAGTGCCTAGTAATACAGGGACTTCAGCAGCCTCAAGAAGATACACCTAAAGGACGCGTATTAGCTGATCTCGGCTTGTTCCAAGGTCTTCTAAACGCACTGCTTCAACCCAACGAAGAAATTTCCGTGTTGAAAGCCTTCAGACTCGGAAAGCGCTCTACTGAACCCGCTATTCCACCGCATCCTAGGACCCTTAAAATTGTTCTGAGTTGCAAAGAGCATGTTAATCTCATCCTCTCAAGACGTTTTAGGTTAAAATATTCCCACCAAGGAGTTTTTTTCAGCCAGATTACACACCACCGGAGCGGATAAAACGCCGACAGTTAGTTCAGGAGCTAAGGCTGCGACAAATGAATGGCGAACAAGGCCTAATTATCTATAACAACTGCATAATCGAGCGACCGTCCCGCTTCATATGGACACGGCCCGTGCGTATGTCGCCACAGCCGAGACAATTGGCAAAGGCGGCGTCATAGCCGGCTTACCAAAGGAAAAAAAGCTAAAATGCTTATATTCCAATGCGCAAAGTCTGCTATCTAAATTAGATGAGCTTAAGATCTACGTTAACCAAACCTTACCCGATGTTATATCCATAACTGAAACATGGCTGTCCGCGAGCGTAGACGATCGCGAAGTCGCTTTATCTGGTTATCACTTGTTCAGAAAGGACAGGTTGGGACGTCAAGGTGGAGGTGTGCTCGTGTATGTCAAATATGGCCTTTTTGCGTCAGCAAAAGAGGCACAGCTCGCGCGCACCACTGAAACAATTTGGCTCACCGTCAAAACGCCGGGGTCACAACCTCTCGAGATCCTGACGGTCTACCGCCCACCGAGGAACGACCCGCAATCATACAGTAGTCTACTAGAGGAATGAGAAGCGATTTCGCTCCGACCAAATGTCATGATTATGGGCGACTTTAACGCTCCGAATATCGACTGGAATCTGACTTCTGCCCCGGACTCAGAATTTAACTTTGATCGCCGCCTCCTAAAATCTGTGCAAAGATCGCATCTTACACAACACGTCTTATCCCCAACCAGACTACGTGAAGGACAACTAGCTAACTGCTTAGACCTTGTATTGACAAAGGCACCGGAAAGCGTGGATGTTGTAAACTGTCTACCCCCTCTCGGAAAAAGCGACCATTTAGTCCTACAGTAGGAGTATTCTCTCTCCTCTGTACCCGATCAAAGCATCGTGATTAGACGCAACATATGGCGTGGTGACTTCAACCAAATGCGTCTCGACATGTGTCGTAGAGACTGGAAAGCAGAATTTACGGGGTGTGTCCTCAAGGACTGGCTAGAACTTAAGGCCATACTGAATGAACTTATCATCAGATACTGCCCAATGTCGAAAAAGAAAATCACCAGCAGGCCCCGATGGCTTAAGGGTTCACTAAAAGTTGAAGTAAACCGTAAGCAAAAGCTGTGGAAAGCATATCTTAGGGACAAGACAACTGAATCAAGAAATAGGTACAAGGCTCAGCGGAATAGGGTAAAGTGCCTTGTTTAGAAAGCCCGCCAAGACTTCGAGGTTATCCTTTTAAACTGTGCAGGAGAGAACCCAAAGATTTTCTTCAACTACATAAGACATAGTACTCGCAACAGGGATCCCATCCCTATGCTAAAAACTGATGATGGCTTTGAACTTTACAAGGACGACGAAAAGGCTGAGCATCTGTCCAGGTTCTTTCAGTCGGTTTTTACGAGAGAAGTCGCTGTACCCCTTGATCACTGTAATGTGGACAATGTCCCGACAATTGACTCAGTGGTTCTCACAAAACCTATTGCTCAACAGGAATTACTAAAGCTAAAATAAGGGACATCGCCCGGTCCTGACGAAATACCGACAAAGTTGTTGAAGGACTTAGCCACAGAATTGGCAGAACCTCTGAGCCTCCTCTTCCAAGCCTCTCTTGATGCAGGCAGACTGCCTCCTGAGTGGAAGACTGCGTAGATTTCACCGATTCATAAAAATGGCAGTCGCGCTTCCGCAAACAACTACCGACCAGTAAGCCTCACCTCCATATGCTGCAAAGTTATGGAGCGAATTATCAAACGCGAACTGATGCGGTTTTTAGAGCAAAATCATCTTCTGTGCGATGCACAGCACGATTTCCGCAGAGGGAGGTCCTGCTTGATCAATCTACTCTACTGTCTTGAACAGTGGACCCGAGCGATTGATGAAGGAAACGTTGTGCATGTGGCCTACATAGACTTCAAGAAGGCCTTTGACAGCGTGCCACACCAACGTCTCCTATACAAGCTCAGCCGCATAGGGGTAAGAGGCAAGCTTTTGAAGTGGATTGAAAACTTTTTGGTCGGTCGGTCCCAGACTGTTTGTCTTGGTGGCCAGCACTCGGCAGAGGTGACGGTTACGAGCGGAGTACCTCAGGGCTCCGTTCTTGGCCCTATCCTCTTCCTCATCTATATTGATGACTGTATCCATGGATTGGACTGCAAAATTGCCATGTTTGCTGACGATATAAAGCTTTGGACCGTCATCCGCAACGAGGACGATGAAGCAAATTTACAGGCAAACTTAGACCGACTCGAAAAATGGTCCGGCCACAGGCTCCTCCCATTTAATGTTACCAAATGATACATTCTGAGGATTGGCAGAACCAGCTCTGCGCATCGGTAGACGTACTATCTAAATCACACACCGCTGCCACTGGTAGAGGTTCAGAAAGACCTAGGGGTGTGGATAACATCTTCACTAAAGCCATCATTCCACTGCTTGAAAGCAGCGAAATCCGCAATGTCCAGCTTATATCTCATTAAGCGGCATTTGCCAAGTTCGATGAAGAGTGCTTTCACAAGGTCTTCGGGATGTTTGTGCGCCCACGGTTAGAATTTGCCATTCAGGCCTGGAGACCCTGGACTGTTAAGGATCGTACCACCCTCGAAAAAGTCCAACGACGGGCAACCAAGCTTGTCAGAGGTCATCAAAACCCACCTTACGAAACCAGACTTTCAAATCTTAACCTCTTTCCCCTGGACTACAGACAACTCCGTGGCGACTTAATTTAAACGTTTAGAATGTTACGGGGTCAGGACTGCTGCCTCGCATCCGGTGACTTCTTTGAGCTGGCCACCACTACTAACTTGAGAGGACACCCTCTGAAACTACGTGTGACAGGAGCGAGACTGGACGCAAGGAGGTCCTTCTTCAGCCACAGAGTGGTAAAGGCATGGAACGCCCTGCCTGTGGATGTCGTCATGTCCTCATCCGTGGACCCATTTAAGAGAAAGCTGGACCAATACAGGGATATGTACCTCCACAGCATCAGAAACTAACGAATTCCCCCCTGTGCCACCCGCCCCATCCAACGTTTTATGTTACAACGCATGCTACTCCCTATATTTTAGTAACATTATGTTTTACAATTTTCGCTATCTCCTGACCGCGAGATATACGCTTGCTTTGATATTACTTGGTTCATTCAGTACCGTACTGGATATTGTACAATTTTGACATAGAAGGCATTCACAGACAAATTCATACCAGTGACCAATGCTTGTTGTATGTAATTACATACCTAATTTTTTTCACACTTGCCTTACACATTGTTTTTTATGACGTTATTGTAACCAAAAGGGAGTTCAAAGGCACTCGCCTACTTTTCCCTTAATAAATCTGATCTGATGATCTGATCTGATACGTACGTACTACGGGATGCAGTGACTCCAGATGGTCCTACATTTACAACGCACTTCGAAAAATTGAAAACGTTCCGAGGAAGATTGCCGACATTCAACGCGGATACGCTACCCATACTCCCACCGCACCTAGTACCCACACCGTCTACGGAGGAAATCATCGAGCCGACAGCATCAAGGAGCCCTGCAGACAGGGCTCCCCCTGAGGAGGGGAGTATGTAATAGCGGGCTTTTTGAGTTGGAAGGCGGGAAATTGAAAAGCGGAAGCGTGCTGAACCATCTGTTTCCATTTGCAGGCGAGGACACTAAGAAGAGTGCCTTAGTGGACATTCTGCCTCCAGAAGAACAACCCTGAATCTCCCTGAACCGCATCGTCGACCAATTGTCGTGTCCCCCCTTTCTATCCCATTTTGTACTCGTCGTTACCTTTTTGCTTCCCTCCCTTCTCTTTGACGAGCGTGGAATATACCTATCCCTTAATCAACGACTTCTGATCCGTACCCTGTTTGAGTGAGGCCTGTTACTGGAATTGTGAGCATCGTCCGAGAAGACCCTTACTCAGTGACAGACGACGGACTGTTTTTAGGAGCAACCCCCAGCCTAGCGACAACAACCGCACAGCCACCTCGATCAACTAAAGGCGAGTGCTCCTCGGCTACAACACTTCAATTGCCATGAAGGACATATTATTCATGCCCCCGAAAACTACCAAACTGCAAACATCAATTTTTTTATTGTACATATCGTTATTTTTACAAATTTGTTATCATTTTCCCTTAGAACTGAGGTTTATTTTAACTTAAGACAAACTCTTAATTCGCGCTTTTTTGGATAACCAAACGCCCGAAACAAATGTAGTCAAAGTGCATTTGAAATTGACGAGTTTGTGTTAGGTTTTTTTCCTGAGTTCAAAGGGGACTGACAGTGCCCAAGGGGCGCTAAAATAAAACTATTCTATTCTATTGTATTCTATTCTAAAACATCAGGCTAATTAAGCTCTTGTTCCAGCGATCGTGTCTCCTTCTGCGTGGCTATTTCTTGTAAACCGCCGATTAACTTCCATTAGTTTTAAGAATTTGGAGTCACAGAAATGACGCGAAGCGTTTACTGATAAATGGTCCCAGTCGATCATCGGTGCGTTTAAATCCGCGGCTACGAGTGCGCCTTGGTTTTAACCCATCTCTTTTTATTAACCCAAACATCGCCTCATCCACCTCTGGAGTTCGATTGGGCGGCCTATATTCGGTGAGGAAATTCAGATTCGGTACTCCGTGACTTTTTAATTTTAACGTGACTGCTTCACAGTCACGTTGGCAAACAAGTCTGCATTCTTACGCGACTATTCCTCTGTTGGCATAGATGATTACTTCTCCATCTTGCTCTTGCAGTCTGTCTCGACGGATGATTTGGTATCCATCGATAGCAATTTCAACATTAAATATTTTAGCTTGCAAACAAGTGTCTGTAATGAAAATGGCATTCGGATGCATATTTAGTACACTTTATTTGGGTTCCCCTATTTTCTGAAACAAAATCAGTACATTTGCATGAAGGAAGCGGAGTTTTTCTCGGATAGATTTTCGGATGATATTTGGATCGAGATTTTTAGATATTTCGTGTGGCTTATTCTGTCTTCTGTCTGAGCTCGAGTCTACTGCTGCTTGACCGAAGTGGGAGGCGATTTGCTTGTCTCCATTTGTACCAAATGACTCTTCAGAAATGAACACTGCCTCTTTATGGACTGGCCACCCACCATGCTCATTGTTATGAACTTTCTCCAGGGAAATGACCACTGAACATGTGTAATTCCTCCATTCGTGATTTCGAGATTGATCTCGTCCGGACCGTTTCTCGTGAATCGTTCTGATTTTGGCTCTCTGCACTCCTCCCGCCCTGCGGGTGAAAATTCCCACTGAAAAAGCCGTTGGATGGGCCTTTTGTCGTACGGGATTCCTGCTCGACAATAGCTGAGTTACTGTCACAATCTGAAAAAAAGGTTAAGCGGTCTTGATTGGTCCGACTCGTTCTTCTAGTCTCTTAATGGGCCCGTCGGCTTCTAGAATGATGGCCGTCTCGCCCCCCTTTAAGAAGGGTCTGCGATATTTCTGAGATAGCTCCATGTCATCAGGTATTCTTACCCTTGGGATATCGGAAGTAGACACAGGCACGCCATGATGACTAGGCATTTAATGCGATCCACAACAGCGCTCCATGGTTAATTTTCTATTTCCAAAAATTGCATCATGATCATTCCGGCAGTCGTTGTTTTCTGATTTATGGGAGTATGGGTTGGTAGAGTTACCTCACGGGTCTCCGCTTACCGAGGTTTCTTGATCATTTGTGACCTTCGACAGCGCAGTTGTTGCTTGTAATGTGCACAAACTCAGTCTACTCACTCTAACGTTCTGGCTTATTCTGTCTTTTAGAGATGCTCTGCGATATTTCTTTCTTTTGTGACATCTCTTACGGTCGCCCTTCTTCGTGCAAGAGACCGGTTTGCTGTTTCGCCGAACTCCGTGGGACACACCCGCATCATTCTCATCGATTTTTACAGCAGACGAAGCCGTGTTTATGCACGTTATTTTTTATTCCTGGATTCCTGTTTTCTTTGCTATTTTAGCGGTGGGTAAGAATGGAGCTTGAAGTGATATCTCGGAAAATTCTTCCGGTCTACTTCTTTTTTATATCCCGCGTTATGCAGGTAGGACGATTAGTCTTTTTGGCTCTCTTTGTCTGACAATTTCGAAGCATGATTTCGTTTAAAACTTCTTTGAGGGTGTTCAAAGCAACGTCTGGATGTCCGATAAAACGTCCTTCTAGTCCACTACCGATAATACCCTTCTCATGGCGGCAAAATCTCCTCTCCATAAATTCAGCCGAGACTCAGTCGTATTCATATGCTGGCTGCACAGGCGGTATTCACAAAACAGCATGACATGGTCGCACATGCCGAACGGTGTTATGGACCTAAGCTCGCCAGGGATAATTGGGTATTATGTAAGGAGGAGGTCCAGACAAAGTGCTCTTTGGCACTCTCTGATCCTGGTTGGGAACGTGATGTTTTGTACCAGAAAGAGATTTGCGGACAGTTTAAAGAGCCAACAATCAAAGTAATAGTGCGAACAAGCAGTCTTATAAATTTGTCTTTCTGTTCTGCAGTTTTCATTGTGGGCTTTGCAGTGCGCTCCCCCATATTTCGGAGGATAAATGACCTTCTTTGTGAAACAATTTGAGAACCGCCGTCAGCTGAATTTCAATGGCCTCTGTGCGGTCCGACAAGATTGCCTCTAGTTCAGGAGTTGTACGTGTGGATAGAAAAGTGTACGTATCAAATCTGGCGGCAATCTTGTCGGATCGTACAAATTCTCGAAATCCGACAATGACAAGGACCGCACGGAGGCCGTTGAAAGTCAGCTGACGGCGGTTCTCAAATTGTTTCACAAAGAAGGTCATTTATCTGACAAAGAATATGAGCGACTAAAACCAGTGGGCACGGCCATATCCAGAATGTACGGCTTCCCAAAAATTCACAAACATGGGCTACCCCTACGTCCAATCCTAGATATGAGGAATTCGCCCTACAACACCATAGCAAAATGGCTAGTCGAAAAGCTTAAACCGCTGCAATGTCATCTGTACCCCCTAAGTTTGAAGGACTCCTTCGAGTTTGTCGAGGCGATCAGGGATATTAACGTTGATAGACGGACGATGCTATCATTAGACGTAACATCACTTTTTACTAATGTACCCGTAGCCGAAACAACAAACTACCTTTGTGACGTTATTCGCGACACAAACTACCCGTTAGGCATGCCGTTGGAGACGCTAAGTAACTACTGACACGGTGCACGTAAAACGTCCAGTTTCTCTGCAATGGTCAACTGTACAGGCAAATAGACGGCGTAGCGATGGGTTCACCGCTCTGCCCGTTCCTCGCAA